CCCGAGAGGCGGCCGCACCACGCAATCGCGCCACCTTTGTCGCGGTCTGCCGGTCCCTTGGCTTCGACTCCTTGCTCCCCTCCCCTTCTTCCCGAGCCCCAAGCTGCCCGGGGATTTGAGGAAACCGCCCGCAGCGCGCTGGTCAGAGCAGCCTGGACAGGGGACCGACCGCGATGGATGAGCTGCTGGTCCTTCTCTCGGCCACCAGCTACTCTGGAGGGACCCCAGAAAAGAGAGTGACTTCGGAGCACGAGGGTTGGGTGACTCCCCCTACACACACACATCTGGACAGGGTCCCCTTGCTGCCTAACCTCTGTGTCCTTCTGCACTGCTACGTGTAAGAGCAGACCCCTTGCTACCCGACAGCCGAGCGGAGTGTGACCAGAGGCTTTGCTGAGGGGTGCGCTAGGGGAGTTAGGTTGGGGATATGGGCGTCGCAAAGGATACTCTGAATCTTTCTGTGACTAACCCAACCTTCCCGTGGGCCAGAGAGACAAATTTCATCTTGCAAATGGGGATAAGAAAGGGGAGCCTCCCAGAGGAGTCTTGACCCAGGTCCACTTCTACAGCATGACCGTCTTCCCATCCTTGAAGGAATAGCGTCCAAGGAACACAACTGCTTCCTAACAGCGGAAGCGATCCAGGAGTTACAGAACCATCTTCCTCGAGGAGTTGGGAGGGAGTTTGGGGGGTATCCCATATCCCAATTGGCTTTATAGGCGCAGACCACTGACCTCTGGGAAAGGACAGAACTAGAGGGTGAAAACTGAGAAGTACCCGTGAGCAGGTACCCAGTAATTGTGTATTCATACTCTTTTCACAAGTTCAGGGAAACAGGTGCCAGTGTTTCGCGGGAAGAAAAGGACAGACAGCTAAGAAATGTGTGGCAACGTCTATGGAAATTTTCCCAAGTCTTCAAACAACTAAGATAGAGGTAAAAATAAATAAATAGATAAATCCATAACCACCCAGTAAGATTGCCACACCCCCATAAATTTGCATGTTTAAAAAGCTCCACAGGCGGTAACTTCCGAGTCTGGGGAGGCTTGGGGTCCAGAGCTTTCTGAGAAGGGTTTTGCTAAGTAACTCCCTCTGCTTTTGCTGAAAAACTGGCTTCAAGCTGGCAACCTGCAGTCAAGCTTTGGTAAGGCAAGTTTACTTTTGCCTGCAGTAAAATTTCTAGGTGGGCCTGCCTGGCCTGCAGAAGGATTGGGGCTATGTTAGAGACACAGTTATGAGTCAGGGTACCCAGAAGACCGGAGGACCAGGAAGCCTAATCACTTCATACCATGACACTGGCTAAAAGCGGATGAAAGAGACTTCTTTCCCTCCATGCAGCCCATTCGTGGTGAGGTCCTCTTCCAGCAATGGATTTCCTTATTAATAGAACACTGATGAGCTTACCTAAGCCTAACCACGTTGCTGTAATTCCTTCCGTATATAAATAGATCTGCCGTTCTGGAAAAGTCAGAAGAAAGGTCTCACCTAAGCTGTGTAGCACATTTCAGCAGAGGCCTCGAATTAAATCCAATTGATGGCTGAGATTTATCCTTAAGTGATACCTCAAGCATGCCCTCACACACGCATAGTTTCTGGCTTTACCACCATTCCGCACCAAAGCCGTCTGTTTGTGGCAAGTGATGAACCTTTGCTGACATATAATTATCACTCACATCCCATAGCTTGATTAGGGTCCGCCTCTGGTGCTGCACACCTGTGGCTTAGATGAATGTCGAATGAAACGTAGCTCTCATTAGAGCGCCATGCCAGGTATTTTCCCTGTCCTACAAACCTCAGTGCTCTGCCTAGACATCCCTCGCTTCCCTTTGCCCCAAGCCACTGAGGTTTTATACCTTCATAGTTTTGTCCCCCCCTTTTTTTGGAATTTTATATGACTTTCATACCCCATAGGTAGTTTTCCTCCTCCTTCGCCATGAACCTAAAACATCTCTGAAAGTAAAGCCTTAAACATCAATAAACTGTGGTGATGTGTGTCTGTATTGTCAACACTCAGGCCGTGGGAAGAGGAATATTAGGGGTTCAAGGTCATCCTTAGCTCCATATTAAATTCTAACGATTCTGGGCTAGCTGAGGTGCTATCTCCATGAAGAAAAGACAGAAGACCAATGGGGAGGGTGCAGTGCAGTCACTCGTTTACAATTTGGAGGACCATTAAAGAGCAAACAAACAAGCAAACACTAGTTAAATAGTCCTGTGTCATGTCATATATCCAAAGTTCTGGGAAGATTAATGAGCTAAACCTATTTTAAGCAACCCAGGAAATAGAATATTTGTTAAACTTCGTGATAGAAATATTCCTTGCTTTAGGAAACAATGGAAGGAAATGCTCAATGGATGTGACTACATGTGCCTTCACAACAACGTATCTGTCAAACGTTTGTTGTAGCTAATGAACCAGAAAAGGGTATGGGCGACAAACATGAACAGGAAGTCTGAAGACCTGTGTCATAAGAAAGGCTCATAAGAGCTAAAGTGTGGAATCCCTTTGTCTAAACAAAAAACAAGCCGGGCATTGCGGCACACACCTTTAATCCCAGCATTCAGGAGGCAAGGGTGGATCTCTCTGAGTTTGAGGCCAGACTGATCTATAAAGCAAGTTCCAAGTTCAAGGGCTATACACACACACACACATGTGTGTGCGCGTGCACACACATACACACACACGCACACACACACACACACACAACTATCTCAAAATAATACATACATCCCAAAAGATATAAAAGAAATCTAAATGTATATGGGGAAATTTAACTTCCTGGTTATCAAAAAGTATACATTAACTTAATGATAAAGGTTCAAAGATAAGGACCACTGGTTTACACATTCATCCTTGCAGTGTACCGCAAGGCCTAGACAGCTGCAACCTGTGAGAGCTAGGGTCCATTTGGAAAGCAGTTTAGCCATATGTCTCAGGTCAAAGTATTACATTTTGACTCAGCAGCCTCACGTCTGGGAAGGTAGCCAAAGAAAGACTCCGAGATATGAATAAAGCTATATACTGCAAGTTGTATGTGGTAGCATTATTTATATTGAACACTTGACCACAAGTTGGTAGATCAAGTAGTTGGGGCTGTCCCCGGCTCCTACAGTCACCTGACTGCAACGATCTTCCCCACGTCTGTGCCGCTGCACCCTACACATGCTCCTGGTCTCCGGCTAGGGTCCTCTTGCCTCTTGTCTATGAACCAACCTGCCTTACTGATCCTTTGGGGCCTTTGTTTAACATCTTGGAGGCTTCTCCTTTGTTCCTGTAGCACCCACATGGGCACTTAGCAACAGTTTGTAACTACTTGTTTACTGGGCTATCTTTTCCAGGCTGAAACTCCTGTTAGGGTGTGGCTTGTCACTTCTTATCTGAGATTCACTAGTGCTCCGCAGGTGTGTGGTAACTATTAGAGGACGGAATGAATCATTTGCTCAGTTTTTATAGCTATTAAGGGTGAGGATTATAAAGAATGTCCCGATGTGTTGACATATTAGAAAGTTTAAAAACACAGTATACGGGATCATCTCTAAGTAATATTGCTAAATGACAAAATGGAAGGCGCATAGCAACATACACAGTAGGTTGCCATGTTGTAGAACAACTGTGTTGGCAAGAGAGTATGTGTGCACATATTTCCTTGATGAGTAAGCAATCCTTCTTAGTTTCCTTTTTATTGCCGCGATAAAACACCATGACCAAGTCAACCCTGGGAGGAAACAGTTTATTTGGCTTACAGGTTGCAGTCCATCACTGAGGGAAGCCAGTGCAGGAACCCAGAGGCAAAAACTGAAACGGAGGCCACAGAGGAATGTTCCTTGCTGGATTGCCCGTTACTGCTTAGCCAGCTTTCTGGTATTCCTGAGGACTACCTGCCCAGGGGTAGGACCACCACAGGACCTGGACCCTCCCACATCCATCATTACTCTAGAGAAGGTTCCACAGAACTTGCCTGCAGGCCAGTCTGGGGCAGGCAACTCCTCGGTTGAGAGTCCCGCTTCTCCAGTTGACAAAAATCAAGCAGCACACTATCTATGGTAGAAAATTAAAAAAAAAAAAAGCATAGAGGTGGGAGCAAACTAGGAGACTCGAAAATATTGGTGAGAATGAGATCTGCTGTATTTTTAGAGGTGCATTTGCTTTCTTAATCTTGTCACATATATGGCACATCTGTTTGTCCTATTCTTGGACCATGTATATGACATAGTCTACAGCATTGTTCACAATCACACGGAAAATGGTAAGAGTCAGCCTCTGGCAAGTAATAGCGGTTGTGGATGTGACGCAGTTGTAGGGCCTGATGGCTGTGCTAAGCTATTCTACCCTCAGGATAAGGGGATACATTTGCTCCCAAGCAGGTCGACTCGGACTAAGGCCATGACGGCCTCTGAGCAGAAACTCCCACCAGAATGAGTGAACCATAGCAAGCCCCAGCTGCAGCCTGGCTGAGGGAATCATAGCACAAGGGCCGAGAATTCCACACGTCAATGAGCAGGCCCAGAACACCCAGTCTGGAACCTAGGGGCTCATGACACCTTCCACTGGCACCTAGTCCTAAGAAGAAACAAACTCACGATGTAAAATACATTCCTC